CGCCCCCAGGGGCCCACAGTGCTAGGTCCGCAGGCATTTGAGTGGGCTCTGCAGTGTGTGCAGTGGGTGGCGCCTGGGGCTGGTGAAAAGGGGCCAGCTGGTTTGCTCTGTGGGATTCAGAGGGCAGAACGGGCTGGCCTTGCCCTGGTGACAGCACATCCTCCCGCCAGGGGAGCACCAGCAGCTGCTGCAGGCCATCGAGCTACAGGGCTTGGGCCCCTCGTTCAGCGCCTGCTCCCTGGCCCTGCACCAGGCCCAGCTCACACCGCTGCTGCGGGCCCTCAAGCTGCACACCGCACTCCGGGAGCTGCGCCTGGCAGGGAACCGGCTGGGGGACAAGTGCGTGGCTGAGCTGCTGGGCGCCCTGGGCACCATGCCCAGCCTGGCCCTCCTGGACCTCTCCTCCAATCACCTGGGCCCCGAAGGCCTGCGCCAGCTTGCCATGGGGCTGCCAGACCAAGCCACCTTGCAGGTAGAGGCACGGGAAGCAGTGGGCCCTCAATGGCAGGGTGTCGGGGTTCCCATTCTGTAGGTCCCTGGGTGGTCTGGAGCAGCTGGGAGAGCCGGCCAATGCCCAGCTGCAATAGGCTATGCCAGGCAAGGTGAGGAAGAGACTGCCAAGCCAAGCCCCAAGGGGGACCTCGTCTGCGGGACTGCTAGGGGCTCACGGCCAGCCTGTCTTCCACAGGGTTTGGAGGAGCTGGACTTAAGCATGAACCCCCTGGGGGACGGCTGTGGACATGCCCTGGCCTCCCTCCTGCGCGCCTGTCCCGCACTCAGCACCCTGCGCCTGCAGGCCTGTGGCTTTGGCCCCAGCTTCTTCCTAAGCCACCAGATAGCCCTGGGCAGTGCCTTCCAAGGTGAGCTGACCATGCACTCCCTGTCTACTCCCTAGCCCCCGGGCGTTGAGGGTTTCAGAGGACCTTCAGAGGGGGCCTGGGCCAGGCACAGGGGCAACACCTGTGGTCCCAGCTACTTGGGAGGCTGAGGCAGGAGGATCGCTTGGTAAGAGTTGCAGGACAGCCTGGCCAACATAGTGAGACCCCATCCCTTAAAAAAAAAGTTTAGGGGCCTGGGATGCCAGACTTGGCTCTCCAGGAGGGGCTGGCTTCTGGGAGCAATAGATGGATGTGTGGGGGCCGGGTCTGCCTGGCTTCCGAGGGCATCTGGTGCCCACCCAGCCAGGCTGATACCCCAGGACACACCAAGAGCAGAGTCCAGGCAGCTCAGTGTCCAGTGCTTCCCCAGCCTGTGCTTGCCAGCTGAATGCTGCTCACCTGAGGCGGTTCTACCATGAGCCCACCCAGGCTGCAGAGACTGGGGTCCCAGTGCTGAGAGTCTGGGAATTGGGTGTCATCCATGGGTGGGGGAGTTTAAGGGGGCAGCAGTGGTCAGTGTGCTTCCTGGACACCCCCGCCATGCATAGGCATCTGGCCCAGGACTGTGTGGTTGTGGAGTAGGAGGCATACAGAGGTATACAGAACTGGGGAACAGCTGAGCTTGGAAGTTTGGCCACGCCCTCCCCGGCTGGGAGAATCTGGGCGAGAGCATTTGCCTCTGCACCTGCTACCCCACCCCACCCCACCAATCCTGTGGTAGTAGTTTCCCCATAGGGGTCCTGAGGGTTCTGGGCTCAGAACTCGGTGTGGGTATAGGGTCGTGGCCACATGGGCTGACAGTTTCTGGCCCTGGTGCAGATGCTGAGCGCCTGAAGACCCTGTCTCTGTCCTATAACGCCCTGGGCGTCCCCGCCCTGGGCAGGACCCTGCAGAGCCTGCCTGCCCGCACCCTCCTGCACCTAGAGCTCAGCGCTGTGGCAGCCAGCAAGGGCGGCTCAGGCCTCATGGAGCCCATAGTCCAGTATCTGGCCAAGGTATGAGGTGGAGAAGGGCCCTAAGAGGCCAAAGGTCCCAAGGCTGAGGCCCCAGGGGAGCTGGGAGGAGCTCACCTCCCCAGATTCCAGCTATACTCACTGAGGGGCTCTCAGAGAGGGTTAGAGGTTTGGAGGTTTAGAAAAAACAGCTGGAGGAATACTTGTGTACAGCTGCCTGTCTCAGGCTGTGAAATCCTGACCACCAGAAAGGACCTGGGACCCAGGGTGTGGTCTTGCCCACCCCAAGGCAGGTCTCAAGGGGCACACTAGGGGCCCCGGGTGCTCTCTCCTGGGGGGTCTTCCAGACACAACTGGGTCTCTTTTATTTTCACACCACCACCTGTAAAGTGTGACCCATATGAGGAGAGGTGTTACTTTCCAATCTCCAAATGAATGGGGGACTCGGGCCCCTGGGTGTGGGGGCATCTGCTGGGAAGCAGGGAGAACAGGTGCGCCATTCAGTCTGGCCCCCGTGGGCCTCTCCTCGTGTCCAGGAAGGCTGTGCTTTAGCCCACCTGACGCTGTCTGCAAACCACCTGGGGGACGAGGCTGTCAGCGAACTGTGCAGGTAACACCCTTGCCCTGCTGCCTGCTGGCCCAGGGGTCTGAGCTCATGGCTCAGGACCCCAGGGGAGCTGGGCTACGGGAGAAGGGCCACAGAAGTGGTACCAGCTCCTCCTTCCCAGTGCACCCCAAGACCTGGCTCCTTCGGCTTCCACGAGCCTTTCAGGCTGGCCTGGAGGGCACACTACCCTCAGGCTTCTTAGCCTGGGCCTGTGGCTCTTGAGAGTGCCTCTGGGTGTGTCTGCTTGTCACTCCTGTGCATCAGCCCACACAAGGGCCGCTGCGCTTATGATCTGGAGCCTCAGTCAGCTCTGGGGTGTCGAGAGCAGCCCAGGCTGGGCCAGGCACATACAGAACTGGCCACTACGGCCCTGACCCTGGGGCCACCAGGGGACTCACCAACCCTAGAGAAGCACCTGCTGTTGTGCCAGGGTGGGGCAGAATCCCTGGGCCTGGCCCGAGGCTCCCTGAGTCTGGGCAGCTTTCCTAGTGTTGGGGCACGGCCTCTCTGGAAGCCAACCTTTGCGTTTCTTCCATGTTATCTCAGATGTCTGTCTCTGTGCCCCTCACTCATCTCGCTGGATCTGTCTGCCAACCCTGAGATCAGCTGTGCCAGTCTGGAAGAGCTCCTGTCTGCCCTCCAGAAACGCCCCCAAGGCCTTAGCTTCCTTAGCCTGTCAGGTGAGGGCATGCCACGTTCAGTCACAGGTGCCTCCTCCTAAGGGGCTGCCACTGCTACGAGCCAGGCAGCAAGGCTGGGCTCCATGAGGCTGACGCAGCAGGGGGCAGAGTAACAGTGAGAGAAAGGGGAAGGGGGCATGAGCCCAGCTCCTAAAACCATGGGGTGGAGGACTGAGGTAGGGTCTCTACCTCGGGTCTCTCCAACCCAACCTTCAGAGCAGACTATGGCAGGCAAGACCCCCTTCCACAGGGGCTTTCTCATTCTCCGTGGCAAGAAGAGGGAGCCCAAGGTCAGAGTGTTGAAAGCTGCCACCAAGGGACCCTCCCACTTCCTGGCAGGGGCTTCTCTGACCTTAATCCTGCCCAGGCTGTGGCCTGACTCTGCTTGCTCTCTTGAGCCCCATCAGGGCAGTCCCCAAGCTGAGCTGTGTGTGTGTGTGGAGGACAACCCAGTAGAGGTGCTTTGATGACCTGGCCAACCAGCAGTCTGGCATAGCCAGCTGGGGCCAGGGCAGGCCCTGCCCTCCAGGGGATGAGGGCTGGAAGTGGGCATGCACAAGGGGCGCTCTGCGTTCTTCCTGCACGCCCCCCATGACCCCCAGGGCCAGGCCGCCTTTTCTGGGAAGGCACCCAAGTGCTGGTGGGAGACCTGCATTCCACTAGGGCTGCTCCCCACACCTCGGTTCCTGGCTCCCTGAATTACTGAGCTTAGTGTCCTCTTCAGCCTCTCGGGTCTACGAGGTGCAGATTTGCCAGCAGCCCCATATGCCCTCCTTACGGGTGGGAAACTGAGGTGTAGGCATGGACTTTTGAGATCGAGCACTGTCAGAAAAGGGAGCCACCCTTCCTCCGGCCTGACGGCTGGCTAGGCAGATGACACTCCTTCCTCGTGTCCTGAGGCCTCTCCTGGGCTCTGCCCACTGCCCCTCGCTGCAGCACTGGGGCCCTGTGGGAAAGCGAGCTTGTTCTCGGGCCCGCCGTGGGCCCCGGGACGCCGCTGGCGCCCGCAGCGCTGAGGCCTGCCCTCTGCCCCTCCGCAGGCTGCGCCGTCCGGGGCCCCTTGGGCCTGGGCCTGTGGAACAAGATCGCCGGGCAGCTCCGGGAGCTGCAGCTGTGCAGCAGACGCCTCTGCGCGGACGACCGGGACGCCCTGGGTCAGCTGCGGCCCGGCCGGCCGGGCCCCGGCGAGTGCACGCTGAACCACGGCTCCAAGCTCTTCTTCCGGCGCCTCTGACCGCCCTTTCCCCACCCCCACCGAAGCCCCTAATAAATGAAGCTGCTGTCTCCGTCTCCACGGCTGCTTGGCAGGTGGGTGGGCGGGGTAAGACCACGCCTCGCGTCCGGTGCGCGGGTTCGATCCCAGGGGCTGCGCGGCCGCGGGCGTGGCCGGAAGCCCGGGCGGGCACAGGCGTAAGGGGGGAGCGCCGACCTGCCGATGGGGTGGGGGGGTGGTGTCTCCGACGCGCAGGCGCAGACGTAAGGGGCGAGCGCCGAGCTGCCGATGGGGGGTGTCGCCCCGGCGCGCAGGCGCAGGTGTAAGGGGCGAGCGCCGAGCGGCTGATCGAGAGCGCCCCGCCCCCGGCGCCATCTCCCGGACCGCGAGCCGTCCAGGTACCCGGGGGGCGGGGAGAGGCGACCCCGGGCCTCGGCCGAGTGAGCGCCGCAGGCGTCTTGTTATTGGCGTGTTCCGGAAACGGGGTTTCCTTGCTCGTCGTCCGGTCTGTGAGGTTTTGCGCGTTGGCTGTGGGGCGGAACCCCCGCGTGTTAGGGCGCTTGGCCCCCGGCCCGCTCCTGCCGGGCGGCCTCTGCCCACCCCGGGGGTCGCCGCGGGCCGCGTCCCCGCCCGTCTGCCCTCCTCCCGTCCCCTCCCACGGTGAGCCGGCGCCGCGCGCGCGGCCTCCCGGGGCCCCCTCCCCCGCCGGGGCGTCGGACCCCGCGCCCGCCCCTCATCCCTTCTGCGTCTGCGTTTGCCTTACTCCGCCCGACCTGTCGGGCCAAGAACAGGGGTGTCGTTCTGACACCTTTATTTTAATCCCGCCTCAAAGCCCTCGGCGGATCTGACGGTCCCACTTGCAGAGAGAAGGTCTGGAGCTGGCGCAGCTTTTGTCCTGGGCAGGAGCCTCCCGCGGGCTCTGCTTCCGTTCCTTCTCCGCAGCCCGCTGCCACCCAGGAGCCCCAGCGGGAGTAAGACCCAGCTCTCTGCGTTCAGTCTTCATGCCCTGGGACCCCTCACTCCACCCCTCAGCTCGTCTGGTTCTCCAAGTTCGTGCCTACTTACAGGCGAGCTGATACGTGTGTTGTTTCCTGTGCCCAAAACGCCCCTCCCGGGCCGTCTAACAGCCGCCTGCCTCCTTCATCAGCCGCCGCAGCCTCCAGCTTGGACCGCATTCCAAGGCAGTCCCCATCCCTGAGCGACCACAGCACCTCACTTTGTCCTGGCAGCCGCCGTAGCACCCTGACCGCCTATGCAGCTTGGGAGTGCTCTTCATGACGCCCTGCGTCTCCAGGACCTGGCACTTAAAAGGCTTTTCTTGTTTTTCGTTTGTTTTGAGATAGGGTCTTGATGTGTCACCCAGGCTGGAGTGCAATGGTGTATGTAATCTTGGCTCACTGCTACCGTCACCTCCTGGGTTCTAGTAATTCTGCCTCAGCCTCCCAGGTAGCTGGGACTACAGGCATGCGCCACCACACCTGGCTAATTTTGTATTTTTAGTAGGGACAGGGTTTCACCTTGTTGGCCAGGCTGGTCTCAAACTCCTGATCTCAGGTGATCCACCCAACTTGGCCTCCCAAAGTGCTGGGATGATAGGCATGAGCCACCGTGCCCCACCTAGGGGCCATCTTTGAGTCCGCCCTGGCTCTCTCTGCTCCCCAGGTCTTGTAGCAAAATATTCAGGAGACTGGAGAGACCCACGGGTGAAACAGGAGGATTTAAAGTAGCCACTGGCTCATGGATTAGCATTCCAAGGCTGAGCCCTAACAGACAGGGCTGGATTTTTCATGCATCCAGGAAGACGTAGCAGCTAACAGGTTTAAAGAACAGTTCATTAATTTGTAACATGTCTTGTGTTGTACCTTACACTTGAAAATAGCATTTTGAGGCCGGGTGCGGTGGCTCAAGCCTATAATCCCAGCACTTTGGGAGGCCGAGGCGGGTGGATCACGAGGTCGAGAGATCGAGACCATCCTGGTCAACATGGTGAAACCCCGTCTCTACTAAAAATACAAAAAAATTAGCTGGGCAGTGGTGGCGCGTGCCTGTAATCCCAGCTACTCGGGAGGCTGAGGCAGGAGAATTGCCTGAACCCAGGGAGGTGGAGGTTGCGGTGAGCCGAAGATCGCGCCATCGCACTCCAGCCTGGGTAACAAGAGCGAAACTCCGTCTCAAAGAAAAAAAAAAAAGAAAATAGCATTTTGAGAAACACATTGCACATTCTTTTGGTGTTATCTTGCCCTGTGACCTTGCAGCTGGTCTGCAAGAAAAACAGGAGTCTTGAGATGCTTAGGAACTTTGCTGAGAATGTTGGGAGAATAGATTAGGTAGGTTTTATAGGGAGAGAGTCATTCTCTTTTTTTTTTTTTGAGGCGGAGTTTCACTCTTGTTACCCAGGCTGGAGTGCAATGGCGCGATCTCGGCTCACCGCAACCTCCGCCTCCTGGGTTCAGGCAATTCTCCTGCCTCAGCCTCCCGAGTAGCTGGGATTACAGGCACGCGCCACCATGCCCAGCTAATTTTTTTTGTATTTTTAGTAGAGACGGGGTTTCACCATGTTGACCAGGATGGTCTCGATCTCTCCACCTCGTGATCCACCCGCCTCGGCCTCCCAAAGTGCTGGGATTACAGGCGTGAGCCACCGCGCCCGGCGAGAGAGTCAATTTCAGGCAGAACTGGGGTTTAGATTTTGAACGTAGCATAGTAAACTTTATTATGCAGGCATTGCAGGCTACTATTATTACTATTTAATTTATAGCAGTTTCAGCGCTGTTGCCCTTCCAGAGCCTAGAGGATGTTTCATGGGATCCCGGCCACTCCGGGCATAGGAGGTGAGTGTGGCCAGAGCTAGGCTTAGAGAGTGGAAGGGCCTCCTGGAGGGGCTGACAGGCAGCATTGGACTTCGGAGGTCAGGGTGGGGGGTGTCTGTAACAGTCTACCCTGACCCTGCTCCCAAACAGCCTTGGGGGTGGCCAGGGTCGGGTGCAGTTCATCACAAGAGCACTGAGGGCCCAGAAACCTCCTCCAGGGAGAGCTGGCTTGATCCTGCCGGGCAGAGATGATGAGCTTAGGTGTGGCCAGAACCATGGGGGTCCTGGGCACCCTGTGTCACACCAAGCCTAGGGGAGAGGCTGTGTGCAATGAGCTGTTGGCACTGCGTCATAGGCCACGAGCAGGGTGTGGCCACTGTTGTAAAGGTGACACAGCTAGGGAACTGCAGTGGAGCTGGGGACCCAGGCCTGGCATGTGGCTCCTGGCCTCCAAGAGGCACCTTCAGGTCCCTCAACACACTGATGAGGTTGAGGTTGGAACCCTGTGCTCCAGCTCCCTCTGGGCTCTTTGGGACCCAGCATGGGACCTGAAATGGAGGCTGGGGCTGGAGCCTACCCTCAGATTCTCCTTGGGGAATCCTGCCAGCTTTCTGCCTTCTCTTGCAGCCCCTGGGAACAAGCCAGAGCTGTATGAGGTGAGTGGTGGGTGCCCACCTGGCCGGCACTGGCCAACAGCAAATGCCTGTGTTGCCTCGCGAGGGCCCTGCAGCCCCGGTTGGCACTGGCCCACAGTGTCTGCTCTCTCTGGCAGGAAGTGAAGTTGTACAAGAATGCCCGGGAGCGGGAGAAGTAAGTGCAGGCACGCAGGCTGCCCTAACACACCCATGCCCATCTGGCTGCCCCAGGGCAGCCTCCCCCAAACCCATCTCCCACTCTAAGGAGTGGGGGACACAGAGTCAGGCTGGGGAGCTGTTCTTGAGGTACTCCAGGATGGAGCCAGAGGAGAGCAGAGCTCCTGCAGTGGCACTCTGGGCAGGGGCTGCTGCTCTGGCTCTAGACTTGGCACCCCGGGGCCTGGCCCGACGGACAGGTGTGTCCCCAGGTACGACAACATGGCAGAGCTGTTTGCGGTGGTGAAAACTATGCAGGCGCTGGAGAAAGCCTACATCAAGGACTGTGTCTCCCCCAGCGAGTAAGAGCCCATGTTTTCGGAGGCCTGCTCCTGCTCTCCCAGGCCTGGGTGCTCCGTAGGCAGCAAGAGCAAGTGTCCATCAGGCTGTCAGGCACCCACTTGTGTGGGGCCTACCCAGCGTGAGGAGGGTGCCCCTGGTTCTCAGCCAGGGAAGTTCTAGGGGGGTGGTGAGGGAGGTGAGCAGAGGGGCGGCCCCTGGGGTGTCATCCAGTCCAGTCCCCCACCCTCATCCTCCAGCACAGACAACCTTATGAAATAGGCGAGAGACTTGGAGATGTCCCAGGATGTTTTGGGGGGCTTTATTCCACGAGGTCACAAGAGCCTCACAGGCCACCACACAGGACCATGAGCTGTGGATGGGGCCATCATAACAGTGCTGGTCGCTGTGGTTAGAGGATGGGCAGGGGTGGGGGGTGGAGGCCTCCACCTGGAGCTGAGCTCCAAGCACCACTGTGGGCTCAGGGCCTCGCCCCATGAAGCTGCTAGCAGCCCCTCCTCCTTTCTTGGCCTGCCTCTGCCTGTTTCCTGGCCCTCTCTGGGAGCTGCTCTGCCTCTGGACCAGCGGAGGGAGTGGGATGAGCTGGGCGGAGCTGGTACCATGCTCGGGAAGCAGCTGACTTCTCCCTAGGTACACTGCAGCCTGCTCCCGGCTCCTGGTCCAGTACAAAGCTGCCTTCAGGCAGGTTCAGGGCTCAGAAATCAGCTCTATTGATGAGTTCTGCCGCAAATTCCGAGTGAGTGCCTGGTCCTCCCAGCCCCGCAAGACGGGGGCCGTCAGCATGGGTATGGGGGGCCGTCGGGCTCTGGATGCATGGGGCTTGCCATCCTGAGAGCCCAGCACTCATATCAGCAACTGACAGCTGGACTGCCCGCTCGCCATGGAGCGGATCAAGGAGGATCGGCCCATCACCATCAAGGACGACAAGGGCAATCTGAACCGCTGCATTGCCGACGTGGTCTCGGTGCGCCAGCCCCCGGGGCCCACAGGGTTAGAAGGGCCCAGGCTGCTGCTGCAGCCGGGCACAGCGTAGGGTCCTGGGTCTCCAGAGCTGAGCAGCACTGGACTTGCTGGGTAGAAGGGAACTCCTTAAAGTAGGAATGAGGGGTGGGCAGCCCCCAGGGAGGCCTCCTGGGCAGCCTGGACTCCTGAGGTGGGGACATGCACAGGGATGCATCTGGGGGGATGTCCCAGCCTCGGAAGAGAGTGTGTGGGCTCACCCTCCTGGTTCCCACACAGCTCTCTGGGCAGCCCAGACCTCCTTCAGCCAGGCGGCCTGCAGGGTTTGGGAACAGTGCAGTGAGGAGGCCCCAGTGACAGTCGCGTCCGGGGAGGGGTTGGGGCCTGTGAGCTGCGAGGCCTCGCCTACCCCTGGAGATGGGAACTCACGTGCACATCTGCCCCCAGCTCTTCATCACGGTCATGGACAAGCTGCGCCTGGAGATCCGCGCCATGGATGAGGTGCGGGCACTGGGCCGGCAGCAGGTCTAGGGAGGAGGGGATGGAGCTGCCGTGGGGGTCCCAGCTGCTGTGTGTGTCCCAGATCCAGCCTGACCTGCGGGAGCTGATGGAGACCATGCACCGCATGAGCCACCTGCCGCCCGACTTCGAGGGCCGCCAGACGGTCAGCCAGTGGTAGGTGTTCCTCCCCGCCAGGCGGAGCCGCCGCAGTGCCCCTGAGGCCCTGCCCGCCAGGCGGAGCCCCCGCAGTGCCCCTGAGGCCCTCCCCGCCAGGCGGAGCCGCCGCAGTGCCCCTGAGGCCCTGCCCGCCAGGCGGAGCCCCCGCAGTGCCCCTGAGGCCCTGCCCGCCAGGCGGAGCCCCCGCAGTGCCCCTGAGGCCCTGCCCGCCAGGCGGAGCCCCCGCAGTGCCCCTGAGGCCCTGCCCGCCAGGCGGAGCCCCCGCAGTGCCCCTGAGGCCCTGCCCGCCAGGCGGAGCCCCCGCAGTGCCCCTGAGGCCCTCCCCGCCAGGCGGAGCCCCCGCAGTGCCCCTGAGGCCCTGCCCGCCAGGCGGAGCCCCCGCAGTGCCCCTGAGGCCCTCCCCGCCAGGCGGAGCCCCCGCAGTGCCCCTGAGGCCCTGCCCGCCAGGCAGAGCCCCCGCAGTGCCCCTGAGGCCCTCCCCGCCAGGCGGAGCCCCCGCAGTGCCCCTGAGGCCCTCCCCGCCAGGCGGAGCCCCCGCAGTGCCCCTGAGGCCCTGCCCGCCAGGCAGAGCCCCCGCAGTGCCCCTGAGGCCCTCCCACCCCCATGCCCTGTGCTGCGCTCCCCAGGCTGCAGACCCTGAGCGGCATGTCGGCATCGGACGAGCTGGATGACTCACAGGTGCGTCAGATGCTGTTTGACCTGGAGTCCGCCTACAACGCCTTCAACCGCTTCCTGCACGCCTGAGCCCGCGGCACCAGCCCCTGCAGGGAGGGGCGGAGTCTGAGACGCTGGCTCCTGGACCCCGTCCGCCACAACTCACTGGCCGCAGCTACCCGCCTTGTGTCTGTCTTTGATATCAGGACTTTGGGGGCCAGGCCCCTCCCCACAATAAAGATGCTGTCTGACCCTCCTGCTTGGACGGCTCCCCGAGGCCTGCCCTGTGTGTTCTCTCTGCCTCCTGGGACCCTGAGCATAGAGCCCCTCTAGCCCACCCACCCTCGACCCACGTGGGGGCCTGGCCCTGGCTCTGTCCCTGCCACTGTATCCCTCGTGGCCTGCCTCATTCAGGGACAGCCACTTCCCTGCTGGGCCCTGCCTGGGCATGTAGTGGGGGCCCTTCCATGGCACCAAAGCCTGGGGAGCGAACGGGTCCACCACTTTGGCCAGGTGTGGCTTGACTCTGGCTGCAGGGGAGGCTGCCTGCCACCCCTGTCACCCCTCACTGAAGCCCAGGGCAGCATGGGGGCCTTCTGAGTGCAGTCAGGTCCTAGTGCACCTGCTGTGGCTGGGCTCAGAGACCACCCTTCCTGCTGTCAGCCGCTTGGTCCCCACCTCCCACTCGATGGCCGCACTGGGGCCTAGGGCTCCTGACTTACCTGTGGCTCCAGCCAGTGACTCACTGGGTGGGACTTTGTCTTGCCCACCCCTAGGGTCCCTCTCCAGGCCCCCAGCAAAGCCGAAGTGTGAAGGCTGGGCCTGGTGGGGAGGCAGTGGTGGTGGATGCCATCCGTTCACAGCGTGTGCTTTGCACCTGCTGCTGTCCCTGGGAAAGCAGCAGACCACAAACCACGCCTCTGGGTTCTGAGGGGTGCACAGTTCACGTCTTAGAACCTGTGCTGTCAGGACGAGGGATGTGCCGGGGTTTCACTGCAGCATTTTTCTCTCTTAGCAGTTGAGAACAACAGGGCTTCTTGACATCTGTGGCATCTTGAGCGGATGGAATGAGGTGTGTAGAGTAAGCCAGACGGTGAAAATCAAGTCAGGTGGTCGGAGGGGGCTTGGGACATGGAGCAGGAGGGGCATGGAGGAGGCAGGTGGGCTGAGTAGGGGTGGCCTCTCAGACGGCCAAGGGGAGCCATCAAGCAGGGTGCCGACATCCGTGACTGCAGAGGGAAGCTGAATCCCACCAAGAAACCGGAGGACTGGCTGGGGGTGCTGCTCTGGGAAGTGCGAATAGACTCACCAAGGAGCCAGAGAGGAGCCCCTGGGACGGCAGGATCCAGAGCACCCCGGGGAGCTGAGGAAGGGCACTGTCAGGCCTGGCCACCAGGCCCTTGATGTCTCTGACAGGCATGTGTGGCTGCAGGGTGCTTTGAGGGAGGACCAGCACCCCAAAACTTGTGACAAGGTGGGCAGATGGTCAGGGAGGGTCTTCTTGAAATAGACATACATTGTCGGTTTGTTTGTTTTTTGAGATGGAGTCTACCTTTGTCACCAGAGTGCAGTGGCACAATCTCAGCTCACTGTAACCTCTGCCTTCTGGGTTCAAGGGATTCTGCCTCAGCCTCCCAAGTAGCTGTGACAACAGGCGTGTGCCACCACACCCAGCTAATTTTTGTATTTTTAGTAGAGACGAGGTTTCACCATGTTAGCCAGGATGGTCTTGATCTCTTGACCTTCTGATCGGCCTGCCTTGGCCTCCCAAAGTGCTGGGATTACAGGTGTGAGCCGCCATGCTTGTAGGGCACGTTGGGAGCCAGATGTAAGGGTGAGGGCCCCACAGGGTCGTAGGGTGAGCCTTAGGCTGTGCTGAGACGCAAGATCCAAGAAATAGAGACCAGACACAGAAGTACAAAGAAAACGCAGCTGGGCTCGGGGACCACCTATGAGCGGAGTCAGGCGAGGCCCCAAGTGTCCAGAAGCCTGAGTATTTATTGTGTATAGGTTAGGGGGCAGGGCAGTGAGTGAAGTCATCTTTAAGGATAGTGATAGGGTCGTGAGCAATAAAACATGGGGTCCACCCCCATTAGATCACCGAGGCTTGAAGATGGGCCGTGCGCAGTGAAGAGGCTGCAGTGTGCGATACTTCTATCTATGGGCAAACTACTTCTAAGAAGATTTATGGGGGGATGTTTTAAGTCACACAGCAGTGACAGAGCTGTCAGGTTACCGCCACCTTCTGGCAGCTTCCAGTGGGTTCTACGGGAAGATGTTTTTTTGTTGGTTTGTTTGTTTTTTTGAGACGGAGTTTCGCTCTTGTTACCCAGGCTGGAGTGCAATGGCGCGATCTCGGCTCACCGCAACCTCCGCCTCCTGGGTTCAGGCAATTCTCCTGCCTCAGCCTCCTGAGTAGCTGGGATTACAGGCACGCGCCACCATGCCCAGCTAATTTTTTGTATTTTTAGTAGAGACGGGGTTTCACTATGTTGACCGGGATGGTCTCGATCTCTTGACCTCGTGATCCACCCGCCTCGGCCTCCCAAAGTGCTGGGATTACAGGCTTGAGCCACCGCGCCCGGCCGGGAAGATGCTTTTCCAGCAGCACAGTAGCAAGAGCTGATAAAGTTCACAGTCCCCAAGGTGGATTGCCGGTCTGAGGGCAGCCTTCCACGAGAACTGGAGCAGGGTCCTGCAACTCCTTCATCAGGAGGAGCGGCTCTCGCCCCAAGCCTGCCACACAGCGGGTATCTTTACGACACTGAACGCTGCCGCCTGGGCCGTGGATTCTTGTCCTGGTCTAACTGTTTTCCCTTAAATCATGCTCTGCACCGTGTCTGCTCTAGGCATTCCTCCAACTATAAGCTGCTTATTCCTTAATTCATGCTCTGTACTGTGTCCACTCTAGGCATTCCTCCGATTATGAACTAAGATATACTTATATGTATATATGTAGAGAAATATTCTTCAGGCACTCATACTATCAACTATTATTTGATTATATAGAGAGGATTATACAAAGGGATTCTTTCTATAAACTAATATATGATTATGTAAAGGATTATGTAAAAGGAAATAGCTGAGTAGTTAGTAACACTATACAGTGAGATATTCCTCAAGCCCTAACTGTGCCAGGGCTCTGCTTAGCTCTCATTCCTCGGTGCCTATATGGGGGGTTACCCACAATGCTGGCCTATTTAATTTTTTTTTACTGTGATAAAATACAACAAAATTTGCCATTTTAACTGATTTTAAGTACACAGTTCAGTGGCATTAAGTGTGTTCACATTATTGTGCAACCTTACCACCATTCACCTCCAGAACTTTTCCATCCTCTCTAACAAAGTAAGCACCTGGCATGGCTTCGATGAGTCTTGAGGACACTGTGACGAGTGAAAGAAGCCAGACACGATAGGGTGAGGATGGTGTGATCCGACTTAATGCGAGGACCCTAGCCAGTCAGTTTCATGGCGACAGAAAGTGGAAGGGTTTTGGGAGGCCAAGGCGGGCGGATCACCTGAGGTCAGGAGTCTGAGACCAGCCTGGCCCACCTGGATTTTTTCTTTTTAGAGACGGTCTTGCTCAATTGCCTACGCTGGACATGATACGATCGAGGCTCACTGCAGCCTCCACCTCCTGGGCTCAAGCAATTCTACCTCAGCCTCCCAAGTAGATGGGACTACAGGCACATACCACCACTCAGGGCGCCCTAACTTGATTTTGTAGTGTTTTTTTTTTTTTTTTTTGAGATGGAGTCTTGCTTTGTCGCCCAGGCTGGAGTGTAGTGGTACGATCTCGGCCCACTGCAATCTCCACCTCCCAGGTTCAAGTGATCTCCTGTCTCAGCCTCCTGAGTAGCTGAGATTACAGGCTAGCGCCACCAGGCCCGGCTAATTTTTTTTGTATTTTTAGTAGAGACGGGTTTCACCGTATTAACCAGGATGGTCTCAATCTCCTGACCTCGTGATTCACCCGCTTTAGCCTCCCAAAGTGCTGGGATTACAGATGTGAGCCACCATGCCCAGCCAATTTTGTATTTTTAGTAGAAGTGGGGTTTCACCATGTTGCCCAGGCTGGTCTTGTACTTCTGACCTCAAGTGATCCACCTGCCTCAGCCTGCCGAAGTGCCAGGGTCACCAGTGTGAGCCGCTGTGCCCGGCCAGTGTTGTTTTTAAGATGGGGCGATTGCAGTGAGCTTGTTGGATGACGCAGTGGGCCTGGGGTGCAGGAGAGTGCAACCCCTCTGCTCGGGAAGCCGGCCTCAGGCTGCGGCATGGGCAGGTGACACCCTCAGCAGCTGCTCCTGGGCTATGGAAGGGGGTTTCAGCTGGGAGGGGTGGGGTCACATGAATGGAGGGGATGGAGGAGGCCTGCAGCCCAGCACTGAGGCCTCCTGCGGAGGCGGCTGTGTGCAGACAGACGGGGCACAGGGTCAGGCCCAGGCCAAGACCTATGTCCTGAAGCTAAAATAGGCCCTGGAGCCGTGGGAGGCTGCAACCAGCCCACTGGTCCTGGGGTTGTGAGGGAAAGGGCCAGTTTGGATCCGCAGCATCTTCAGCCTGTGTGCACAGCTGCCCCCCTTGTGGTCCTGGGACCCAGAAATCATCTACACCCAGGAGTGGTCTCCCCTAAGGGCCCCCAGAGGGATACCCCTGTGGGTGGGCCCAGCCAGAAGGGTGCCATGAGATCTGCCGCATGGTGGGGTGAGGTCGGACCCCAGGACACTGGGCCCAATGCCCGCCCTGCCCTGCTGCGCCCTGCCCTGTGCATGGCAGGACAGAGTCCTTGGGCCTCAGGAGCACAGCTCCCCACCCCAGCCCCACCCACAACGCTCAGGGTCAGGCGGCTGGGCTGGGCAGGAGGCGGCATCCACGTTCCCACTTCAGAAGGCAAAGCCGCCTTGAGATCTGCTGCCCCTTTCCCCAGACTTCCTGCCTCCACCACCACAGTAGAGATAAGGCTTCTGGGCTCAAAGGCCAGAGAGGGAGTCCGCAGGGAGGGGAGGGCTGGGAGCCACAGCCTCCCTGCCCCCAGGCCTAGAGCTGGGGTCTTGCCCCAACCTTGTCCTGACACAAGCCTGGCCAGGTGGCTGCCAGGACCCAGGTCCGTCTCCTGTGTGTCTGCGCTGCAGCTCCTTGGGGCTGTCCCCAGCCTAGAGGGGCGTGACGCAGCAGGCACCTTTTCAGTTCCTTCAACCCCACTGCAGTCCCCAACAGGGACCATAGCCCATAACCCAGGAGGAAAGAGGCCCATGTCCTCACCCCCAACTGGGGCCACCAAGGGCGTCTGGGCAGCCTCTGCTGAGGGCTGTCAGGAGGGGGCCGAGGCCTGGGCCTGGGGGCTCTGAGAGCATCTGTGAACCTCTGCCCTGCGTCCCCCAGCTTGGAAGCAGCCCCCAGATGGAGAGCCAGAAGGGGACACCCTGGCCCTGCCCCACAGCTTAGGGGGCTGCTGGCAGAGGAGCAGATACCCAGGCTGTCTGTCCAGGGGAAGGGGCCCAGCCCTTGCCCCCCACAGGCAGTGGCTCCAGGCTGTCGGGGAGGATCTGCCGCTGGAATGGTTAACCCAGGCAACTCCAGCAGCCAATCACAGAGCTCTGCAGGAATACCTGGGAGAGGTCCTCATGTGGGGCCGGGCGGGTCCTAGCCCAGCCCCAGTCTGGCCCCAGGCAGCCCCAGCAAAGCCGCCCTCAGCCAGCCCAGAAGCACTGCGCCTCAGCAACACCCACTGAGCACGCTGGGAGCTGAGTATGGCGGCCCTGGTCCCGCTGGAGCTGGGGCTACTGCTGTCTGTGCTGGTGGTGACAGCGACGGCGTCCCCGTCTGCTGGTCTGCTGAGCCTGCTTACCTCTGGCCGGGGCACTCTGGATCAAGAGGCACTGGGCGGCCTGTTAAATACGCTGGCGGACCGTGTGCACTGCGCCAACGGGCCGTGTGGAAAGGTAACAGCCCCACCCGACGGGTCCCCCAGCCCTGGCCTCCTGCCGCCTGCTCCGCCCTGCTGGCCAGCAGCAGAGGGCCCTGGGCAAACTCCAGGAGGCGGCGGAGGCTGGCAGTAGTAGCTGGGCGCCCTGCCCTGCCTGCAGGCGAGAGCCCACCCTTCTGCTCAGCGGGGGCAGATGGGCCTGCCTCTCCAGGGACACACGGCCCCTCTTTTCCCCAGGACCCTGGGGCCACCTCCCCCTGCTGGCCCCAGCCATCAAATTGGCAGTGGCTCCAGGGGAGTCCCCCGGGAATGGGGGACCACTGTTGGGGACCCCTCTGCATGCACCCCTGTAGTTGGGGAAACAGAACAGGGGCCTGGGGAGGTGGAAGGGCATAAGGGGCTGAGAGAGGGTGATGGATGCTGTTGGACGTGAGAGGGAGAGGAGTGGGAAGGGGCCTGCCATGAAGCCCCTTGGCTGGGCTGGCCTCTCCTCTTCCTGGTGGCCCAGCGCCCCGCCCACCCATCTCTGCCCACAGTGCCTGTCTGTGGAGGATGCCCTGGGCCTGGGTGAGCCCCCGGGTCCAGTCCTGGAGACTGGGTATATCGCCCGCCTCAGTGCGGCTGCCGCCCTGTACCTCAGCAACCCCGAGGGCACATGTGAGGACGCTCGGGCTGGCGGCTGGGCCTCTCATGCGGATGACCTCCTGGCCCAACTCGAAAGCCCTGAGGACCTGATCCTGGGCCTGAGCAGGCTGCTGCAGAAGGTGCAGGCCCGGGCTGCTGGCCCCGCCCTCAAGACGGTGAGAGAGAGACCAGGCAGACTAGGGGAATGGGTGAGGAGGGCCCCACAGCCCAAGGGGCCGGGCCTGCAGAGCCTTTAGGGAGCCCGGGGGCCTGGAGAGACTCGTGGGGGTCGGCCTCGGGCTGGGGATTCGCAATGTGGGGCTCACTTCTGATCAGGTGGGGGTCTCATGAGGAGGGTACCAGAGGGCTGAGTGGGAGCCCGGAGCAGCTGGTCCTAGCAAGGAGGGCTGGGCTGGTGGGGCACATCCTGCCTTGGTGGGAGATGCATCCAGCGGGTGGGTGGCAGAGCCGGATGCAAGGTCACACTGAAGGCTGAGGCCCAGGCCCCTCTTCCTCAGGCCTGTGTAGATATCCCGCAGCTGCTGGAGGAGGCCACGGAGGCGGGGGCTCCAGGCAGTGCTGGGGGCGTCCTGGCTGCCCTGCTGGACCACGTCAGGAGCGGGTCTTGCTTCCGCGCCTTGCCCAGCCCTCAGTACTTTGTGGACTTTGTGTTCCAGCAACATGGCAGTGAGGCCCCTATCATGCTGGCCGGTGAGGCCTGGGCTGGGCTGCGGATGGGGGCGCCCCTGAGTCCCCAGCCTCTGTGTCCCTGGGCGGCAGGGCTGGAGCCCACACAGACTCACGGTGCCGACCGTTCTCCCTGCCAGAGCTGTCGGCCTTGATGCGGCGCCTGGGGGTGGGCAGGGAGGCCCATGGCGACCACAGTCGTCAGCACAGGAGGGCCAGCGGCCAGGACCCTGTGCCCCGCTCTACATCCAACGGCAGCTCCAGTGTGTGGGACACGGTGAGCTGTGCCCTGGGGTGAGATGGGGCCCCACTGGGGTCTGCTCAGGCCCCTGACCTGTCCTGCCAATCCCAGGTATGCCTGAGCGCCAGGGACGTGATGGCTGTGTATGGACTGTCGGAGGAGGCAGGGGTGACCCCGGAGGCCTGGGCCCAACTGAGCCCTGCTCTGCTCCAACAGCAGCTGAGTGGGGCCTGCACCTCCCAGCACGGGCCCCCCATCCAGGACCAGCTCAGCCAGGCAGAGAGTGAGTGCCCGCCCCGGTACTGTGCTGGCAGCTCAGAGGTGAGACCCATGGAGGGAGGAAGAAGTGGCTGCAGAGAATGAGGGATGGAGAGAGCAAGCAGGGGCTGGAGGTAAAACTGCAGACACAGGGAAAGGGGGCTCTCCGGGAGGGGAGTGGTGCTCTGAAGCAGGAGGGTCAGCCTGAGTGAAGGCCTGGCACACACTGAGCACCTGCAGCCCTGGTGGGCAACACCCCAGAAGCAGGGGCTGAGTCTAGAAGAAAAGCTCTCACTGGCCTCATCCGCCCCCAGGATATCTGTACGGCTCCCTAGCCACACTGCTCATCTGCCTCTGTGCTGTTTTTGGCCTCCTGCTGCTGACCTGCACTGGCTGCAGGGGGGTCACCCACTATGTCCTGCAGACCTTCCTGAGCCTGGCGGTGGGTGCACTCACCGGGGATGCTCTCCTGCATCTGATGCCCAAGGTCTGCCCCCACAAGCCCCCCGACCGCCCCCTTTCCTTCCCCACCTCGGACTCCCAGGCCATGCCCTCCCAGGGCCCTTACCCACCCCACCACAGAACCCCAACCTCTCTCCCCGGGTCTGGGGAGGAGGTGCCCTGAGACCCCCCTAGTCCAGCACCCCTGCTCCCCAGGTGCTGGGGCTGCACACACACAGTGAAGAGGGCCTCAGCCCACAGCCCACCTGGCACCTTCTGGCCATGCTGGCCGGGCTCTACGCCTTCTTCCTGTTTGAGAACCTCTTCAACCTCCTGCTGCCCAGGGACGCAGAGGTCAGTCTTCTTGGGAAGGTACCTGGGTTGGGGGTGGGTGTGCTGGGGGCCGGGTGGACACTGAGCAGGTACCCTCACAGGACATGGAGAACAGGCCCTGCAGCCACAGCAGCCACAACCACGGTGGCCACAGCCACGGCATTTCCCTGCAGCTGGCACCCAGCGAGCTCCGGCAGCCCAAGCCACCTCACGAGGGCTCTCGCGCAGACCTGGTGAGTGGGCGCCCGATGCCCCGCTCCACGCGGAGCCCCTCCCACCGACCCCGTCCCACGCCCACACTCCCAGCCCCACCCCGCCGCCTCCCTCCTCTGCCTCGCCTCCGGGTGGGACTCACTCATGCTCCTCCCAGGTGGCGGAGGAGAGCCCGGAGCTGCTGAACACGGAGCCCCGGAGACGGAGCCCAGGTGAGCCCAGGGGGCGACCCCGGAAGGGCCGGGGGATCTGGGGTTTGTGCGGAGCGCGGGCGGTAGGGGACAGGCCACGCGAACCCACGGCCGCTGCGCCCGCAGAGTTGAGGCTGCTGCCCTATGTGATCACGCTGGGCGACGCCGTGCACAACTTCGCCGACGGGCTGGCCGTGGGCGCCGCCTTCGCGTCCTCCTGGAAGACCGGGCTGGCCACGTCGCTGGCCGTGTTCTGCCACGAGCTGCCACACGAGCTGGGTGAGCGGTGGGCGGGGCCGGACAGGGCAGGGCGGGGAGACGAGGAACGGGTGGGCGGGGCTTGGTGGAAGGGGCGGGCGGGGCTTGTTGGTAAGGGGCGGGGCTTGTTGGTAAGGGGCGGGCCCAAACGGAGGTGGGCGGGGCCTGGTGGTAAGGGGCGGGTCCCGAACGGAGGGGGCGGGGCACGTAGATGGGTGGGCGGAGCTGTTGCCGTGGACCCGCCCCCAGGGGACTTCGCGGCCTTGCTGCACGTGGGGCTGTCCGTGCGCCAAGCGCTGCTGCTGAACCTGGCCTCCGCGCTCACGGCCTTCGCCGGTCTCTACGTGGCACTCGCGGTCGGAGTCGGCGAGGAGAGTGAGGCCTGGATCCTGGCGGTGGCCACCGGCCTGTTCCTCTACGTGGCGCTCTGTGACATGGTCAGGATGGTGAGGGGAGGGGCTGCTCTGGGCAGGGCGCTGAGCAAGGGAGCTGAGCAGGGGCGCTGACCCGGTGCCCACCTGCTCCTCAGCTCCCGGCCATGTTGAAAGTGCGGGACCCGCGGCCTTGGCTCCTCTTCCTGCTGCACAACGTGGGCCTGCTGGGCGGCTGGACCGTCCTGCTGTTGCTGTCTCTGTACGAAGATGACATCACCCTCTGATACCCTGCCCTAGTCCCTGGCCTTTGACTCAAGACCCCACACCCCACAAACCTACAGCCCAGAAGCCAGGGCCCCTATAGAGGCCCCAGTCCCAACTTCAATAAAGACACTCTCATCCTTGGAGCCTGGCTGTGCACTCCTTGCTGGGTGGGAGAGGTCCTCAGCCGAGAAAGGACCATTATGGCAGTGCCTTCTTCCCACCAGGGTGCCTCGAAAAGAAGCCGGGAGAGCTGCACTCAGGGCCCCCCAGGCAGCCAGCCTCGGGCACCTCTTTTTTGATGTGGAGACCCTACTTGAGTGGGGTCAGGCCAGTTCGCCAGGGTGTGTGGGCAGCCGGTGGGACTCTGTCCCCAAACAGTAATCAAACTTGCTTACCCACTGCGTACGCAGCTGAGGGCTTATTTCTCTTGTCAAGGAAAGCAAGCCTGGAGATCATCAGACCAGAGTATGTGGCAGCCCATGGCGCCGGGGACCCTGACCTCTTCTGACTCTGCCCTCCTGTCCGCAGCAGAGGCGTTAATCCTGAGTCCCCTTGTACTGGCCTCCTAGGGCTCCCATAACACAGCCTACCATAAACTGAGTGCCTTAAACCAGAAACTTATTTTCACCGTTCTGGAGGCTAAAAGAAATCAAAGTGTCAGGTGAGCCACAGTCCCTTTGAAGCCTCTAGGAAACAGTCTGTTCCATGAGCCTTTCCTGGCTGCTGGTGGCCCTGGGTGTTCCTTGGTTTGTGAACAGCATGACTCCAGTCTCTGCCTCTGTCTTCACATGACCTTCTTTCTTTTTCTTTTATTTTTTGAGACAGAGCCATGCTGTTGCCCAGGCTGGAGTGCAGTGGCGCCATCTCGGCTCACCGCAACCTCCGCCTCCCGCGTTCGAGCAGTTCTCCTGCCTCAGCCTCCTGAGTAGCTGGCATTACTGGCACCTGGCACCATGGCCAGCTAATTTTTGTATTTTTAGTAGAGATGGGTTTTCAACCATGTTGGCCAGGCTGGTCTGAACTCCTGACCTTGTGATCTGCCCGTCTTGGCCTCCCAAAGCGCTGGGATTACAAGCGTGAGCCACCGAGTCCGGCTAATTTTTTTGTGTTTTTAGTAGAGACGGGGTTTCACCGTGTTAACCAGGATGGTCTAGGTCTCTTGAGCTCGGGATCCGCCCGCCTCGGCCTCCCAAAGCGCTGGGATGACAGGCGTGAGCCACCGAGTCCGGCTAATTTTTTTGTGTTTTTAGTAGAGACGGGGTTTCACCGTGTTTACCAGGATGGTCTAGGTCTTTTGAGCTCGGGACCCGCCCGCCTCGGCCTCCCAAAGCGCTGGGATGACAGGCGTGAGCCACCGCGCCCGGCCTCATGATTCCGTTTCTAAGTCCTAGGTCCGTGCCTGGTCCTGGATCCAAGGACCCGGAAGCTGGCACTGGGCTCGCCCCCGGGAGGCCGCGGTGAGCAAGGCGGGCGTACAGCGCTGGACTCGCGGGCGCGCGGGGAGCTGCGTTGCCCGCGGGAGTGTTGGCGGCGGGGGTCGCTCAGCGCGGGGACCCTGGGCGGAGGGGGCGTGCGGCCTCCCTAGGCAGCTGTCCCGGGGCCCGACGCTAGCGAGGCGCCGCACCCCTCTTCCGCACCCCGGGGCTAGGAGCGGAGTCGCTCGCTCTGCAGCCGTCCTGGGGCGGGCGGGGAACCACCCCGGCCGCAGCCGCGCCCCTGCGGCTTCCCACCCGCGCTGCTCCGCCCGCCGCGGATGCCCCGGCACTGCGCGCGCTCGGGGTTTGGGCTCCGGACGCCGAGCCCGGAGCCGAGCCGCGAGACCGCCCCGCACCCCCGGCCGCCAGGGGCCTGCTGTCGCCCCGGCAGCCACGCCCGCGCGGCGGCGCCGCGCAGGCGCAGAAGCCCGGAACCTCCGCGCCGAGCTTCCGGGCCCGGCCGGGCCCAGTTCGCCGCCGTGCGGGTCCCCCTCGAGTCGGCGCCGAGCCGCGGGTGGGAAGCCGGGCGGGCGGCCCTGCGCGCGCGACCCCGCTCACCCGTCCTCTGCCGGCCCCGCGCGGCCGGGCTCGGCGCCATGTACGCGGTGTACAAGCAGGCGCACCCGCCCACCGGCCTGGAGTTCTCCATGTACTGCAACTTCTTCAACAACAGCGAGCGCAACCTCGTGGTGGCCGGGACCTCGCAGCTCTACGTGTACCGCCTCAACCGCGACGCCGAGGTAGGCCGCGCCGGGGGCAGCCGGCGGCGCCGAGCCCCAGACACGCTCGGTGGTGTGTGCTCGAGGCTCCGTGTCCCGAGGAGCCGGCGCCGCCCCGGAGCCCCCGTGCTCGGGGCCTTTCCCGTGGCCGCCGCCCTGCTCGGCCGCCCTTCTCGCCGCCCCGCTTGCGCTTTCGGTTTTTTCAGCAAGTCGTTCGAAAGAACGAACGCCCACGACGTGCTGGGGACAAGAGATACCGTGTGAACCACACCCGCAGGCACTCGGGGGAGGGGACACCTGCCGCGGCCGCGAGTGCTGCTGCGGGGATGGAGGAGTGCGCCAGGGAGCCGCGTATTTCCTGTCGTATGATCGGAAGAACCTGTCGGAGGCGGAGCGGGAGCTTGTCGGGGGAACGACATTCCTAGCACAAGGAACAAGGCCGGGTCTAGGGTGGGGACAGGCTGTTGACAGGAGTCTCAGTGAAGTGAGCAGACTCCTCGCGGTTTGGGAAGTACAGGGGCGTTTTGGTTGCCAGAGGGTTGAAAGCTGGCCCAGGAAGGCTACTTGGAAGACGCAGTTTCTACAAAGTTATTGAAGGAGGCGTAAGTCTTACCCAGGCCCAGGGATGGTGAGAAGAGGGTGTTCCGGGCAGAAGAAACAGCTTGTGCCCGGGCCCCAAGCAGTCGAGGGTGGAGAGGCCATGCACAGTGTGACCGTGGTGTAGTGTGGATGTGGTGGTGGGGATAGAGGGTGGTAGGCCATGATCAGGACGATTCTCCACAAAGCAAGAAGGAGCCACAAGAGAGTTGGAGTAGGGGCTGACCCAGCAGGTAGATGGGTCAGAGGCGCAGGCCAAAGGCCAGCCCTCCTAGGCACCTACCCCAGCATGTACACGAGTTTGCTGGTCAGGGCTCCTGTTCTTTGAAGGCTTGACGAGGGCTCGAGTGTCTGCTCTGAACACACTGTTGGCAGGAGGCCGCAGTTTCTCACCACATGAGCCCCTTCCTGGGGCAGCTCACAACATGGCAGCCTCCCTTACAATGACAGAGACCCACCCAAGACCCATCAAGACTGAAGCCACGGTATGCTCTGCAGCCTAAGCTCAGAGTGACAGGCAGGCTGCATTGGCTAACACCTATAGTCCCACCCTTTGGGAGGCTGAGTTGGGATGATTGTTTGAGGCCAGGAGTTAGGACTAGCCTGGGCAACATAGCAAGACCCCATATCTACAAATAATTTTTTTTTTTTTTTTTTTCTGGTGAGGCAGTGTCTTGCTCTGTCACTCAGGCTGGAATGCAATCTCAGGCTCACTTTAACCTCCACCTCATGGGTTCAGGCATTTCTTGTGCCTCAGCCCCCTACACCCTCCACCCAGTAGCTGGGATTACAGGTGTGTGACATCATGCCTGGCTAATTATTTATTTATTTATTTATTTATTTTTGAGACGGAATTTCGCTCTTGTTACCCAGGCTGGAGTGCAATGGCGCGATCTCGGCTCACCGCAACCTCCGCCTCCTGGGTTCAGGCAATTTTCCTGCCTCAGCCTCCTGAGTAGCTGGGATTACAGGCACGCACCACCATGCCCAGCTAATGTTTTGTATTTTTAGTAGAGACGGGGTTTCACCATGTTGACCAGGATGGTCTCGATCTCTTGACCTCGTGATCCACCCGCCTCGGCCTCCCAAAGTGCTGGGATTACAGGCTTGAGCCACCGCGGCCGGCCCTATTTTTATTTTTATTTTTAGTAGAGATGGGGTTTTGCCACACTGGCCAGGCTGGTCTCAAACTCGAGCTGAAGCAGTCTACTCATCTTGGCCTTCCAAAGTTGCTAGGATTACAGGAGTGCACCAATGTGCCTGGTCCAAATATAAAATATAAAAATTAGCTGGGCATAGTGGCCTGTGGGTAGTCCTAGCTACACGGGAGGCTGGGGTGGGAGGATCGCTCAAGCCCAGGAGGTCAAGGCTGCAGTGAGCTGTGATTGCACCACTACAGTTTAGCCTGGACAACAGAGTGAGACCCCATCTCCAAAAAAGAAAAAAAAAGGGGCCAGGCACGGTGACTCATGCCTATAATCTTACTACTTTGGGAGGCCAAGGTGGGTGGTTCACTTCAGGTCAGGAGTTTGAGACCAGCTTGGCCAACATGGCAAAACCCTGTCTCTACTACAAATACAAAAATTAGCTGGGCTTGGTGGCAGATGTCTGTAATTCCAGCTACTTGGGAGGCTGAGGCAGGAGAATCACTTGAACTCGGTGGGGCGGAGGCTGCAGTGAGCCGAGATCATGCCACTTCACTCTAGCCTGGGCAGAAGAGTGAAACTCCGTCTCAAAAAAAAAAAAAAAAAAAAAAAGGTAGTAACACACTGTTAAATTTCTGTCACATTCTACTGGTCCTATCTACCAACCCTGGTAGGGGTTGCAGAGGGTGCAACACCTCCCAGCATTCACTGCAGGGGGCCACTGTCGGTTGGCTGAGGTGCTCATTCCACATCAGGCAGCAGTGCAGAGCAGGAGGGGTGTGCAGGAGCCTGGAGTTGAGGACAGGTCTGATGTGGAGGTAAAGTTGGAGTCTTCAGCTTGTGGGTGGTGTCTGCCCGTGGAAACTGGTTGAGATCGCCCAGAATATAGCCAAGGACAGGGTCTTGGGGTACCCCAACATTGAGAGATTGGGGATATGAGAGTCCATGAAAGAGCTGGAGGTGGCATGCCCGGAGGGCAGGGGGAAGCTGGACAGTGCCCTGGAGGCCCAGGGAAGGTGGCTGGGAGGGACTCAATGCTGGTCCCCATGCTGCTGAGCCTCAGGTGATGCCTGGTGATGCTGACAGCAGTCTGGTGGCAGGAGGGGGTCTGGTCTGACTGGAGCAGGGATAAGAGCCCAGCAGAGGAACAGAGTCAGTAACACTGAACACAGGCAACTCTAGAAGTGATTTGTGCACATTGAAGCAA